AGTACTGTGCTTTTACCTCGGTATCCCACAGCAGACTAGTTCAGGTTGTTCAAGGAAAGCAATGCGGGATATTCTGCTTTTATATCCAGGTTTTACACAGCAACTGATCTCACTGTAGGAGTCTTAAGATTTAGCACACTTCAGTGTTTGGAACTCACAGAAACGGGCAGGCTGCTGTCTTTAACCAACTGTGTCCCGATTCGAGTTCGGGGTTAGAGATCGCAGTTTCCTTCAGCCCGCCGGAGTTCCAGCTTGTGTATGTTCTGCTACAGAGACACTAGGGGGAGCTACAGCTTTCTATTTGCTTTCGTTCGCACTTGAAATTGGAGCAGGTTCAGAATCGGCAGGGTTGTCCAGGTGCCTCTGAATCACCAGCCGCTGGAGACAGCTGAGCCGACGACAACTAGGTCATTAAGGGCAGAGGTGGCTCAGAGACACTGCGGACACACTGACCGGCCCTACAGGACCTGGACTATTCGGTGCGGGGGTCAGTTGGTGTAATTCTGCGATTACAGCCGCTTGCATCGTTTCCCTGGATTAATGATATGTGCTAAAGAGACATGTCATGGATTGTGAACCAGAGATCGTTTGAAAAGAATTCCCATTTGAGATTATTGACCCCCCAGGACTACAGATAGATGTATATAGAAATCCACGACACGCGTAAGAAAAGCCCACTGTAGATCTCCTGTTCCGGGGACACTCATCACTGTTTCAGCAGACTTTTCCTTGCATATATACAGCGCTTTTAATTTCCAAAGATTACCCACAGGTGATACAACAGCTATTTAACAAGGTGTAGTGCCTACAACGTATTAAACACTTAAGCATTTGAATTTATCTTCACATTGCGACACTATATCAGCATACAGTAGGTTATACTGCACTATACAGTAATATTACCATGACCTCTTTATTCCACTGTACTGTGTTTTTACCCTGATCTCACTGGGTTTTATTGCACTGTACTGTGCTTTTACCATTATCTAACTGGGCTTTACTGCACTGTACTGTGTTTTTACCTCGGTATCCCACAGCAGACTAGTTCAGGTTGTTCAAGGAAAGCAATGCGGGATATTCTGCTTTTATATCCAGGTTTTACA